GCTCTTTTAAGTAATAAGGAAAGGCGCCATACTCAAAGCTGAGTGATATTTGCTGGAAATACAATGGATTCCTCATTCCAATCTGTTTTTTTTTAACTGCAAATCCATTCTGGGCACCACAAATACTTAAAAAAAAACCTACGTTCGTCCTATTATTCAAAGTAAAAGCTTACACTATGTCCAGGTGCTAAAGGGTCAATTCACGTAAATAAATATTTCCTCATGAAGATGGTGGCTGAAGCTAGCTGAAGCATCCTGACATGTGTCAATGTGCCCTCAGCTTCCCATAGCCTGATTTTAACAAAGCTATAACCTTAGTACAAAGGTTGCATTTAGAAGCAATATTGAAATAAGTCTCTACATCAAACAAACAGATACAGAAAAACTTGGATTTGGGCTAAGCTTTACACAAGCTTATGAAACAGAGTATCAAGGCAATTAAAAGCAACTCCTTCCAGACATAACAAAGGTGATAAAAAACAAATCTTAAATGTTTCTATTTCTTCTTCAAATACCAAACAAGTGAAACTATATGGTTTCTTAAAGCCTCCGTTGCAATTTAGCAATGCTTTATATAAGTAGATCTCCAAGAGTAATCAATCCAATTTCTCACTGTAATAACTGAGGCAAAGATGCACATAAAAATACTGCTGTGCACTCGAGTGAGGAAACATGTTTCTGGTCTCCCCACCCTTGTGATTTACAGTATCTTGGTGGCCATATATGTGATCTCATCATTAGCATTACCCAAATTATTTAAAGCAAGACAATTCAGTTTAATTCACATTGTGAACATGGCTTTTCCCCACTTTCCCAAACTGATCGACTGTCTGTCATTCTACAATTTCTGGCAGATCAAGTAACCAAATCTGCTTGAAGCATGGTTTGCCTTGGCTTAGCAGTCAAGCTTTTTATCAACATATCAACAATCAAAACCCTCCTGTTTTATATCAGTGTTCCCAACAGAAAGGTAGCCTGTCAAATTTCCAGACTACAGGTAGTCCTCAACTTACAACCACAATCGAGTCCAAAACTTCTGTTAAGTGAGACGTTTGTTGAGTGAGTCTTGCCCCATTTTACAACCTTTCTTGCCACAGTTGTTAAGTGAATCACTGCAGTTGATAAGTTAGTAACCTGGTTGACTTTGCTGGTCAGAAGGTTGCCAAAGGAGATCACGTGATCTTGGGACACTGCAACCGTCATAAACATGAGTCGGTTGCCAAGCATCTGAATTTTGACCACATGACCATGGGGATGGTTCAAAGGTCGTAACTGTGAAAAATAGCCATGTTGCTTTTTTCAGTGCCATTGTAACTTTGAATTGTTACAAGTCGAGGACTACCTGTATTAGCCATTAGCTCAAAACTTACTGTAAAATAGTAGTAATAAAGATAACTAGACTATGCCAGAATAATATAATTAGACCTACAATTAGAAATATACTGAAAAATATCTTATGCAACTTCCTAATTTTTTTTTTGAATCAGCAATTCAATCAGCTCAGTGTTGTCCACTGTCTATATCAATTATCTCATGTCAGAGAATTACCGAGCATAAGTGTACCCATTCCTTTATACATCATTTTATATAGCAAGGAAAGGAATCCCTGTGGATTTTACTTCACTAGTTGTTGCCAACTATGGGGGGGGGGGGGGGGGAGAAACTCATTTCCAATTCAAAGCTGTGAATCAGCACTAAGGACATTTCTGTGATCAATCTGGCCAGCATGTAGGAATATGTAAAATAATTTTGTAGCCAGGAAATAATTTTAGTTAAAACAGCTACAGGAATGGATTTCCACTACCTCCTTTTCAGCAATTGTTATACATTATTGGATTTCACATCTAATACAGCAAAAGGCCGCATAGGAATTTTAAGAGGTAAACATGGTGTAATTACCTAGAACCACCAATAAGGAAAGAGGCATAATCATCATGTCTCATCTCAGTTTATATCATTGGTTTGGTATTTGATAGCAGGAAGTCAAACCAGTTTTTAAAAATCTGAACTGGCGTTGAACTTGATTCATAGCTTCATCCTCCTCAATGAACCAGAATCCAAACCCCCAAAAATGATCTCAGTTCCTTGTTTTGAAATGCTGCTGGTGCAATGAATGCCCTACTACAAAGGACATGAATCACTCACCAAAGCCACATTTCACGTTCCTACCAAAGATAAGTACAGGTGGTAAAGTCAGCTCCAACTCTCCTCAAAGACAACAAAGACACTTAAAAGAATACACTCAGCCACATACTTACCCATCTCTTCCTTTACTAACTATCTTCACTTCAAAATAATAAATTCCACAGGCTGCAGGGATGGGGTGGGTAGCCCTGACAGAAGCAGCATCCTTGTGATTTTTCCCATGTCCTGTTTTAAACAAACAGAAGGGGAGGGGGAGGAAGGAAACAGGCAGGAGATGGGTCTTTAATTCTTCAGTGAAAACAATCATGCAGCAAGGGTTTTCAAGAGCCAGCCAGCCAAGCCACAAGGAAGCCCACGGCCGAATACAGTCCCTTATCTGTAAGATGCTCCAACACATTAGCAAGCAAGACATGGCATTGGAAACGCATAGCTGATCTTCTTCTGTTATTGTCCCAAAGAGACTCACAGCCCATCCTTCAGGGTCAAAGTATACAGCGTTGGGGCAGCCTTTCTCAACCTCAGCAGATGGTTTTAGCCATCTTCAGCTTGTTGAGGTTGAGAAATATGGCCCCAAAGTGTCCTTTACTTTGCGAGTCTCTTGGACTGCAAGGCGATCAAACCGGTCAGTGCTAGATCAACCCCAACTGCTCTTTAGAAGGCCAGATCCTGAAGTTGAAAATCAGGTACTTTGGCCACCTAATGAGAAGGAAGGACTCACTGGAGAAGAGCCTAATGCTGGGAAAGATGGAGGGCAAGAGAAGAAGGGGACGACAGAGAATGAGGTGGCTGGATGGAGTCACTGAAGCAGTAGGCCTGAGCTTAAATGGACTCCGGAAGATGGCAGAGGGCAGGAAGGCCTGGAGGAACGTTGTCCATGGGGTCGCGATGGGTCGGACACAACGTCGCAACTAACAACATCCTTGACTTCAAAGGATGGGGCTGTGGGTCTCTCTCTCTCTCTCTGGGACCACCAAAGAATAACAGCAGTGTGTTTCCGTTGCTCTCCTTTGCCCTCAGGCAGGGAAGTCCGCAAGTCTTAAAGTGGCCAAGGTTGAAGACCCCTGCCCTAGGAGACTTCAAATCCCAGGATTGCCCCAGCCAAAATGCAGGGGGTTTGAATCCCAGACGCTTTCAAGCTGCCTGGTGGGAGAAGAACCCCTTGCGTTGGGGTAACCCCCACCTCACCCCACCCCACCCCACCCCACCCCAGGGGACAAGCCAAAAGGCTGCTCTCCCACCCCCAAAAGACGCTCCCTGCCCTGGGGGAAAGCCCGACAGCCCCCGCTGGCAGCCATAAGGAGCCGGGCAAAGGCTCTCTCTCTCTCTCTGCCTCCCCCCAGAGAAGCCCCTAAGCCGGGGATCTCTGCCCTACCTACCCAGCGGGCAGCCAGGCCTCCTCCCAGGCGGGACCCCCTGAAATCCGGGCTGCCCAATCCTGCCCACAGCCCCCTCGCACCTTCTGGGGAGGGGGGGGCGGCCGGGCCTTCGCCCCCCCCCGCCGGAGGAAGGCTCCCCTGCCCGCCCCTCGGCCCCTCGGTCCCCCCCCAGGCGGCCCCCGGGCCTCCCCCACCTTTGTAGTGGACGCGCAGGTTGCCCTGGGAGAGGCCGATGTAGCTGTACTTGTCCTTGGGGCTCCAGGCGCGCGGCAGCGGCGTCTCGGCCGGGTTGACGGCCGGGTAGAGGCGGCGGAGGCGCTGGCTCAGCTCCTGCTCCTCCGGCGGCGGCGGCGGCGGGGGAGGCGGCGGCGGCGGCGGCGACAGCGCCGAGTCCCCCCCAGGTAAGCTGGCTGCACCCGCATCCGCCATCTTGGATCCACTATTGTGTCAGCGGGAGGGGAGCGGGCTCCCTTTTCCCCGGCCGTCCAATGGGAGGCGGGCTCGGCCACAATGGAGGCGCGCGGCATGACGGGAAGGCGAGTCCGGCGCCCGGTCCAGGGCTACGCCGGCTCCAGGCGCCGGAGACTACAAGTCCCAAGGAAGCCCGCGAGGGGGGGAGCCCGCCCACTCGACGGCGTCGCAAAGGCCTTCGGGATAGCGAGTAAGAGGGTGCGTAGAAAAGGTAGACGGGGAGCTGAACGTTCGGGGCGCGTTCCTTACCCTTAGCAAATAAAACCACGCAAGCGACGCCTGGGTGAAATATTTGGGCGATGAGAAAGCGGGAGGGAGGGAGGCGGCGGTGTGGCTAAAGTGACAGGGTTTCCCCGTTGAAGTACGGGGTTGGACTAGAAGACCTCCAAGGTCCCTTTCCAAGCCTATTCTTCCACGTTCTTTAAACAAAAACAACCCCATCGCACAATTAGCTGCAAATCAGCTACGGCAAGGGAAAACAAGCTAGCGAGATCCATTCTATACACAATCCCGAAGACAACGTTTACCCTATTCCCGTGCAATAGCGACATTCCGTCTAAAACACAGGCTTTCTATGAAAGGCCGCCGCCGCCGCTCCCTCCTTGCAACGCTGCAATTTGCAGAAGCAGGAAGGTAAAGAAAAGAAACCCATTTCGGGATGCGATTCGGCGGTTCTCTCCAACTTGGCGCGCGTTAGCCTTCCAGCTTTCCTCGAAGGGCTCGCGGCACGGCCAGTTAAGGCGCCTGACCCCCTTTTCCCACGATATAAACTATCCGTCGCACAAAGCATCCCAGCCCCCCCCCTTTCCCGGTCCAAGGAAGCCGCCCTGCTCCGAAGATGCCCGGGATTCTCCCGGAAAAAAGCCCGCGGCGAACAACTGGCCCGCGCGCTACCGCGGGACGCCTCTAGAGGGCGCGGCAGCCTCTCTCAAGCGGCGAGGGGCGGGGCCTGTTGCCGTGGCGACCCCCCGTCAACAGCCTCCGCGGCTGTTTCCCCTCTCCGCGGCCATGCAGGCCCGCCCCTCCGTTTGTATCGGGTGAGTCCGCTTCGAGGGGCGCTTGAAGTGGGGAGGAGAGACCAAGAGCCCCGTCCGGGTTGGAAACAGGGAGCGGCCACGTTTCTTTTGCGCCGGGCTGGTTTCCTTCAACGGTCGGTCGGTCCTTGAAGGGGTTTGGGCTTTCGGCTTGGTCGCGTTGTCGGCGCCCCGACCGCGGCTGCGCGACTGAACTACAACTCCCAGCAGTCCCTCCGTCAGTGAAGGGCGGGCTGCCCTTTTATCTGCCGGCCAGCCAGCCAGGACGGGTTGTGCGAGCCCCGCCCCTACGGTGACCTCACCGCGCAAGCCCTCCCCTCTGACGTCGCTGCAGGGGACGCCGCCCTGTGGGCGGGGCCGTGGCGGGTATCTCGTTCCTGATTTGCTGGCGGAAAAGGCCGCCCCGCCCACCTCTTTTTTTTGCGGGGAATTCAAATCGCAGCTGGAGCGAGAGTGGATTGGCTGCAAGCTGTTGGTGGTGGATGATGATCAGCTTTTTATTAGCCAGGCCACAATTAAAAGAGCCCTGGTTTGTTTAGTTTGCATTGTTGAATTTTAAAAGCTTTTAAAAAGAAAGCTCCTGGGGAAATTAGCTTATATATCTATCCCTCTTAATATTCTAGGTCTGATGGTCCAGAAGCTGATAAAAGGTAACTGCAATGAAGAGAACATTAATTCTATAGTTACACTTTTAATTTCCGTAATTATCAACAGTCTAACCCAGAGGTAGTCAACCTTGGCTCTTTTATGACTCGTGGACTTCAACTCCCAGAATTCCTGAGCCAGCTAAGCTGGCTCAGGAATTCTGGGAGTTGAAGTCCACGAGTCATAAAAGAGCCAAGGTTGACTACCCCTGGTCTAACCCTTGATCGGATGGCTTGGTGACCAAAGGAACGGTTGCCTAGCTCATTTGGAGATTCAGCTGTAGGGAAGCAACCTTAGGAATAGATTCCAAGCTCTGTTAAAAAAAGATTCTCCTGCCACATAGATGGGGCATCGAACTGAGCCTGCTAAACCTCTGTTCTACTCTGTAAAAAAAAAAAATCAGCATTTGTTAAAAAAAAAAAACCACCTTTCTTTTTCTTGTAAAAAAAATTCTCAACAATTTTTAATGGAAATTGAATTATATACATATTCCTATATATAAACCGTTTGCATTTTTTACGCCTCTTGGTCAAGATAGGGAAAAAAAAAGCAAAATAAAAAGGAAATTTACATTCTCCCATTTAAAAACAAACTGCCTTGGACAAAGATGGGGAAGAAGGGTTGTACGAAAGGCAGTTTATGTTGCTAATCACAGAAAAGCTCGGCCAGTTATGTTTAAATCAACTGCAGTGGGGATAAACGTGGGTCACCTGGTACAGGTAGTCCTCGACTTAACGACCACAATTGAGCCCAACATTTCTGTTGTCGGCAAGATGATTGCTAAGTGAATTTTGCCCCATTTTACAACCTGTCTTGCCAGGGTTGTTAAGTGAATCGCGGCTTTGTTAAGTTAGTAAGATGGTCGTTAAGTGAATGATTTCCTCATTGACTTTGCTTGTCAGAAGGCTGCAATAGGGGGGTCACGTGACCCAGGGACAGTGCAACCGTCATAAATGTGAGTCAGTTGCCAAGCATCCAAATTTTGATCAGATGCTGCTGCAATGGCCATAAGTGTGAAAAATGGACACAAGTCACTTTTTCAGTGATGTTGTAGCTTTGAACGGTCACTAAATGAACTGTTGTAAGTCGAGGATTATCTGAGTGTTTGAGCACTGAAAAGAGGGGTGTGAATTGGGATTGGAGAGCCTGTGTAACTCGGTCTCTCTTTGATCATGAGTTCTCCAGCTCCTGTTTCTTGCTGTACCACAGGGTCTCATTTCATCAATCTTCTCAATGTGTAACTGGTAAAAACTTGCCTGTGGTGAAGGTCTCATCTCAGAAGAAACAGAAGTATGTGGTGAGTAGACCTAGCTCAGCTAGCCCATCTTTTCACTTTTGCAGAGGCCAATATTTGTCCCAACATCTGTTTGCATCATTCTGTGGCCTAACCTAACAGGTTTCGGCATCAGATACTCAGGCCTTGGAAACCACCTTGAGTATTGTGGGCCTTACAGGAGAGCCTCTACCATGACAAAAATGAGGATGCTCTCTTCAAAAGCAAATGCTGGGAGGCGGTAGCAAACATTGGAGTAGACCAGGGGTCTTCAAACTTGGCCTTTTTATGACTTGTGGACTTCAACTCCTCAGCGATGCTGGCTGAGGAATTCTGGAAGTTGAAGTCCACAAGTCATAAAAGGGCCAAGTTTGAAGACCTCTGGAGTAGACCAATATTACTCAACCTTACCAATTTTAAGATGTGTGGCTGGCTGAGGAATTCTGAGAGTTGGTGTCCACATTGAGGTGAGGTTGAGAAGCACTAGAGTAGATCATTCGATCCACCCTCCCCTAATCTGCTGTCTTTGGGGTAGCATGTAAAATATTGCCAACATTGAAGAAAGATTCCGCCAGCGAAAGAAGACGCCATGTTTTCCTTTACTTCAAGCAGTAAGATCCCTCAGGGAAACCCAGTGAAGGAGAACCTTCTATTTGAAGGACTATTCCCGTGTTCCTCAACCTCAGCATCTTGAAGATGCAGTTCCCAGCATTCTCCCAGCTAGCATGGCTGGCTCGGGAATTCTGGGAAATGAAGAGCACACATCTTAAAGTTGTCAAGGTTGAGAAACCCTGGACTATTCCCTCCAAGTCCACTTTATGGAGAAACAATTAGAGCTTGGGATGCCATGATTTTCCTCATCCCAGTGGCCAACAGCGGGACATCAGATTTGTTAAGTGCACAATTCATCTGGTCACTTTATGGCTTCCCCATAAAAAACAAATTATACTGCATTTGGGTTCTATGAACTGTAGTCATTGTTCCTAAAGTGGCATTTCTTGTTGTTGTTGTTAATTGCGAAGTCGTGTCCGACCTCCAAGGTCCCTTCCAACTTTATCATCATTATTATTATAACGTTCCTCCAGGTCTTCCTGTCCTCTACCATCTTCTGGAGTCCATCACGCCTCCTGCTTCAGTGACTCCATCCAGCCACCTCCTTCTCTGTTGTCCCCTTCTTCTCTTGCCCTCCATCTTTCCCAGCATTAGGCTCTTCTCCAGTGAGTCCTTCCTTCTCATTAGGTGGCCAAAGTACTTGAGTTTCAACTTCAGGATCTGGCCTTCTAAAGAGCAGTCGGGGTTGATCTCCTCTAGGACTGACTGGTTTGATCACCTGGCAGTCCAGGGGACTCGCAGGACTCTTCTCCAGCACCAGAGTTCAAAGGCCTCAAAGTGGCATATATAGATACAAATGAGGAAATAACCTCATAGGTGAACGGCCTATTTTCATCCTCCCCAGGTCCATTCGAGTAGCAGCCACTTGTCCACCTGGCCAGCCTATGAACCAGGCCAAGGGATCCTCCAGAACCGAAAACCGTGCACTCTCCCTGACTGGCAAAGGTAGGTCTGGATATGGCATTGAGGTGTCAAGTTTCCGGACTTGCAAAAAAAAAAAAGCCAGGAAATTTGGGGTTCAAATAAACAGTAGTTGCCGGCTTTCCCATTATTATCCCTCCCCCTTTCTTGAGAGACGGTTGCCCCAGGGTTAACATAAATGGCCTTTTTCAAACCGATGGTCCTCTCTGTCCGGAATGCGGACTTGACTTTGCATTTGAGAATTTGACTTTCGACCGCTACGTCTGTCGTGGTGGCTTTGTTGGTTATCTCTCGATAAGTGGCCTTTGTCATCGTGGCAGTAACGTAGTAATGTTCAACCTGGGCAAAGTAGAAATGTCCCAGCAAATGCTAATAATATTCTGCCTTTCAGCGCCAACAAACCGCTCATGCCGATTTCGAAGCCACGTTACCTTGAAGAGCTGGAGTCCTACTTGCGGGCCGAGTTGCAAGTGCTCGACTTGACTAGAGGAAAAGTTCAAGAACTTAGGCTGCAGGTTGGAGAAGCGGCGTTCTGCAGGGAATGCCGGAAGCCTTAAATCTTGGGGTTTGGGGATCCACAATCGGCCCATGGAATATCTTTGACCATCGTTGCCAAGCCTAAGCACGGCTTTTTTGCTCTGACCAGGAAAGGAGGGAACTAGGAAAAATAGAAATTCAAACTTTTTTTTTATGGCTAGGACATGGCCACACACCCTTCTGAATCCCTGACACTAATTCAAGCTCCTAGGGACCCAATGTGTGTCTTATTAGGTTTTTATCCCGCCTTTATTTTATAAGTAACTCAAGATGATGAACGTACATAATACCTCTCCCTCTTTCTATTTGCCCCCTAACAACAGACCTGGGAGGTGGATTGGGGTGTGAGAGAGTGACTGGCCCAAAGTCACTCAGTCGCTTCCATGCCTAAGGCAGGACTAGAACTCACCATCTCCTAGTGATTGACCCAAACTCACCCAATTGGCTTTCATGCCTAAGGCGGGACTAGAACTCACAGTCTACTGGTTTTCTACCCAACACCTTAATCACTACACCAAACTGGCTTTCAAGGCAATGCCTATCCCTATTGTAAAGCTTAACTGATTTAAGTCCACCAAGAATCTCTTTCAAGGCAAAAGAGGCAGATCCAGAATCCCGCTGTGGTGTGAACAGAACAACACTGTTAATGCAGTGTTTCTCAAAGTTTGCAACTTTAAATGTGTGAGTGTCAGCTCCCAGAATTCCCCAGCCAGCGTATCTATTTTTTATTTCTATCTCTCTTCCCTCCCCCGGAACTTCCCTTTTTTTTTTAGCCTTATAGAGAAGTATTTGAGTGTTTCATGGAAGAATTCAAGACTTACAAACCTTTGCTGGCTTCCATCAAGAGGGAGTATGAATCGACGATAGGTGAGAGAGCTACGATACCATTTTACCAAATGTTAGAGCGATATTGAACCGGCTAATTTTCACAGCTGGTTCTCAGCATTTTAGATGAAAAATATCAGGATCCCAATTAGTCTGGATGGTCCCGTTCTTCTTCTCAACCATAAGTGGTCATAAGTCACTTTTTTCAGTGCCGTTGCACTTTCAAATGGTCACTAAGCAAACTATTGTTAAGTCAAGGACTATCTGTATATCACAGCAGAGTTCTATAATGACCCGGGTTCAAATTTCCAATATCTACCGTACTTTGATCCAAGATCATAAAATGGGGGTGTGATTACATGATCTGCTTAACGATTGGCAATTAATTCTGGGCTCGGTTGCAGGTTGTAACTCAAGGATCACTGTAATATAAGTTATAGGATTATAGCTGAGCTCCTGCATCCTGCTAAGATCAAGCCAAACAAACCACACAACTTAGTGCAGAGGGAACCAGCTGTCAATCCCACATGCAGGCCTAAACACAGTTTTTCTTGGTTTTGGTGTCCTCTTCAACTACACAGCAGTTTCTAAATGCAAACACGGCTCCTGAATTACCCAAATATTTAACCTTCTTTCCAGGCAGTAAATGACAGAGAATCCTAAACAATGCTTTCTAATTAGTAAGTTCATTGAACAGAATAGTAGTGGGAAACAGAAGATCACAACTGCTGATTTTCCTTTAGTAATTGTTGTACATGGTTGTCCTAAGGAAATATTCCATACCAATAGTAGATGGAGATTAAGCTAATTTTAAACACAGCGCTCTTTAAAAGCCCTATCCACAGGTCTTTATGACTTTTAGTAACTCGGAGATTAGATGCCTCTTTGTCTGCCTCTTCTAGCCCATCTGCAGGAAAAGATCTGCACTCTGGAATCTGTGAATGGGGTTCTGGTCACCGCCTCTGATCAATGTACTCAGCAAATCCTGGCTTTTCAACAGCAGGAGAAAATTGAAATCGCGAAATTGAAAGAGGAGCGGCTCTATTTACTGAAGCTGATTGACAAAATGAAGGAGGAAAAATGTTCACTAGAGACCCAGGCGAGTCTTTTACCGTGCCCTGTTCATACTTTCAAGCAGCCGGGCCTGGAAAATTGGATTGTGCATCCTTGCCAGCACAGTTGTGCCTTTTCAAAACTCTTCTGACTGCCTTCCCCCCGGGGTGGGAGGGGAGCTTCCAGGGTTGACTTTGTTAAAAGAAAAGCAGGCTAAGAAGAGAGTCACACGGAGTAATTAATATGGAATATGTGATTATAATTATCAGGTTTGTGTCGAATCATCAGTTCTTAAGACAGAGTGCAGCTATTTTATTATACCTAACGGAAGAAAATATATTCTTGAGATAGAGTATTGTAGAATATATGGTGCCCCCCAAAACAGACCAAAATGGCAAGTGGCTAATTTAGTGTAATGGACAAATACAGTCTAAAATATCGGTCCTTTATCAGCATTTGTCCCATACAGGTAGTCAACCTACGACCACAGTTGAGCCCAACATTTCTGTTTCTAAGTGAGGCATTTGTTAAGTGAGTTTTGTTCCATTTAACGACCTTTCTTGCCACAGTTGTTAAGTGAATCACTGCAATTGTTAAGCTAGTAGCAGGGAATCTGGCTTCCCCATTGACTTTGCTTGTTGAGAAGGTCGCAGAAGCAGATCACATGACCCCCAGGACGTTGCAACCGTCATAAATATGAGTCAGGTGCCAAGCGTCCGAATTTTGATCACGTGATCTTGGAGGTGCTGCAATGGTTGTAAGTGTGAAAACTGGTCATAAGTCACCTTTTTCAGTACTGTTGTAACTCTGAACAGTCACTAAATGAATTGTTGTAAGTTGGAGACTACCTGGATGTTTGTGTTTTTCCGATCTGGCCAAAGTCCATTTAGTCAGCTGCATTACAATTCCACTAGACTCCGGCTTCTGGGCTCCTTCCCATGCTTTTATAAAAAGTCTGACTTTTATAAAAAGTCAAACAGGTTAAAACAGGTTTAAAAAAAGGTTGAAAATGGGTTAAAAGTAGGTTAAAATGCAAGGTTAGAAAGGCTTAAAAAGTTAAAATAAAATAAAAATTAATTAAAAAAAAAACACTTATTTTTGGAGGAGCTCTTTACAGCCTTCGCTGCCTATCCACCATCTTCTGTATTTGTGTGATTAAGGCTGTATTTCAGGAGGGATCATCTCCTTGAGTTTTTTAAGCTCACCAAAGTTACCTACCGCGCATCGAATAAAATGTTCCAGAATAAGGTTCCTCTACTGAAATGAAAACCTGACTTTTAATCACATGGCCTCCCCCACTTTCCTTTCATTGTCCAGGTGGCCAAGCTGCGAAAGACAGTGGCCGAAGAATATCTTCGTTATCTCAACGAGTGTGACGCCCGCAAGCTATTACTTTTGGACCTCAACGAAATGTACCGTCAGAAGGAAGAACTGAGGCTCACCAAGGAGCAAGGTAGACGAAAAAGATGTAGTTTTCCCCCACTAATTCATCAGTCTCCACCGAGGAACGCAGTGGCTCACCTGGTTGGGACGCTAGGTTGACAGTCAGCAAGCTGGTCCAGTTCCAATCTTGCTCATTGGAACTCTAGCATTGATTTACATTATTGTTTTTTAAATGTACTTTCATGCAGTGTCTAGTTTGGATCTTGGCTCGTCGATTCTCCCCTATCCTTGATTCTTTACGGATTCTTTTTTTTCTGCTTAGTGGGTTTTTTTTTCTGCTTAGTGATCTGAAGGCTCAAGGTTCTCCCAATTAAGTGTAATTTTGAAATGTCCCTGGACTTCCTTCTTCTCTTCTAGAGGATGTTCTAGAGGAGGACACGGTGAAGCTGAAGGTTGCGCTGAGGGTGGCCCGCCAGGACCTCACCAAAGCTCAAGTGGACCTGAACACCATGCAAGCAAACTACGGAGATGTTGTGCCTCGAAGAGATTTTGAACTGCAGGAACGAAAATATAACGATTTGGCTGATAAGGTACTTAAGGCAGAAGCTTGGCAAAATTGGCCAATTCTCCATTGTGGAGGAGGAGATCCAGTATTGGCTGCCTTTTCTGTTCACTCTAGAGCAGGGGTAGGCAACCTTGGTCCTTTTATGACTCATGGACTTCAACTCCCAGAATTCCTGAGCCAGCCATGCTGAGGGAAAAGGAAGAGGTTTCCAAGCTGAGCCATGCTGGCTCAGGAATTCTGGGAGTTGAAGTCCACAAGTCATAAAAGAGCCAAGGTTGCCTACCCTTGCTCTAGAAATAGAACTTGACTAGAAGTCAGCAAGTTTTTCTCCTTGTGTAGTAAGAGATTCTTGTAATTCTATTTACGCCTGGTCGGAGTTTGTTTGTAGTTCTCGTCTCCATTTTCAAATTTTAACCATCTTCCCAGTAGATATTTTAATTCATTTCCACCTCCCCAGTCCATCAGATTCCTTACCCAGAACTTCAGATCTCGTGCTCAATCCCATCCTGTGTTCCTTGCCCTTCAGTTGTCAATTCTTCAGAAAGATTTTGATGACCTTCGTGAGGAATATGAGATAATGTTGGATATACACAAACAAGTTTCAGAAGACCGAGACCGCTACTTCAATGACCTCATCAATGTCCAGCGGACGTCCACACCCCGCCCGGACTGGAACAAATGTGCAGGTACAATTTAGTGCGGCCGATGTGTACAGGTAGTCCTGATTTACAACAGTTCATTTCGTGACCGTTCGAAGTTACCACGGCACTGAAAAAAAGGGACGTATGAGCATTTTTCACACTTATGACCGTTGCTGCAGCATCCCCCACACGGTCACGTGATTTACATTCGGATGCTTGACAACTGACTCACGTTTATGATGGAGTCACGTGATTCCCTTTGGCAACTTTCTGACAAGCAAAGTCAATGGGGAAGCCAGCTTCACTTAACAACCGGGTTACTAATTCAAGAACTGCAGTGATTCACTTAACAACTGTGGCAAGGAAAAGTTGTAAAATGGGGCAAAACTCACTTAACTCTCTCGCTTAGCCACATAAAGTTTGGGCTCAGTTGTGGTTATAAGTTGAGGACTACCCGTATTTATTCTAGTTTTCTGTTATGCATATTTTTACTGCGTGCGATTAACAAAATATGAGCACCTCAGTAGAGTGCTCCTCCATTTCCCAGATTCCTATCCTGTCTGATATTCCGTTCTTGTTCCTGCAGACGTGATTCTTGGTGGAAGTGAGCGCTGGAGCAGCTTGTCGGTGGGCAGAACAAGTGACCAGCTAGTCGATGTGCTTTTGGAGGAAATTGGCGGGGGTCTCCTGAGAGAGCGCGACACCTTCATCGGGCGGGTACGGTTGGACTTGCAAGTCCTTCTGTGACTTCCCCCACTACAGCAGATGGATTTCTGGGGTTCACTTCCCCAAAGAGCTTGGTCTAATCCCAACAGAGATCCAATAAAGGAGAATATTTGTAGCTCGGGATTAAAATGAAGGGTCCTTGGTGCTCTCTGAGCTGGACTGTTTTCTTGCAGACGTTTTATTAACCGAACAGTTGCAATGTATGGCTGTGAAAGTTGGACCATAAGAAAGGCTGAGCGCCAAAGAATGGAGGCCTTTGAACTATGGTGCCGGAAAAGACTCCTGCGAGTCCCCTGGACTGCAAGGCGATCCAACCGGTCAGTCCTAGAGGAGATCAACCCCGACTGCTCTTTCGAAGGCCAGATCCTGAAGTTGAAACTCAAGTACTTTGGCCACCTAATGAGAAGGAAGGACTCACTGGAGAAGAGCCTAATGCTGGGAAAGATGGAGGGCAAGAGAAGAAGGGGACGACAGAGAAGGAGGTGGCTGAATGGGGTCACTGAAGCAATAGGCGTGAGCTTCAATGGACTCCAGAAGATGGTAGAGGACAGGAAGGCCTGGAGGAACGTTGTCCATGGGGTCGCGATGGGTTGGACACGGCTTTGCAACTAACAACAACAAGGTAACATCATCAGTGTTAGCACTGTTGATGTTACCGCGTTTGGCTAATGAAACGTCTGCCATTAAACAACCCAGCTCAGAGAGCACCAAGGACCCCAAATGTAAAGATCTCTTTTTCTTGGTCTTCCAGAGAAAAGGGGGGTGAGGAGGAGATCAGAAAGGGAATTTATTCCACTTCAAAGAAATGTACGTTTTACTTCAGCAAATTATGAATGGCTTTGCAAAATGTTTATAAGCTTGGCTGAAATGTCTATGAGGATTCTCAGTCATCCTGGTCGGCGTTGTCTGAAAAGTGCTTTTTTAATAGGCAGCTGGACTGTTTTTTGAGGAAGAAGATGTTTTGCTTGTCATCCAAGAAGCTTCATCAGTTGTGACTGGATTGTGGGGGGATGGAAGGATCGATACAGGGAAATCTTTGTGTCCTCGTGGACCTGGCTGTCCTTCAGAGCCAGGGGTGGCCAACCTCATAATAGCCTGGCCCCACTCAACAAGCCCTCTGAAGTGCACTTGTTGTCCCTTCCACAGCTTTGTACAACAGCTGTTTCAGTGGGACTCCAGTGTAACAACCTAATGCCACGAGTTGGGTTTATATGGGGTTGTTTTGATCTAAGTAGGCATTTGAGGCTGCCCACAGCAGGCAATTCTTTTTCTCCACAGGGAAGAAGCGAAAGGATTCCCCCGTACCTGAGGTGTGATGGCCTGGTTAGAAACAAGAAGCTGAGCAAGAAGGAAGTCGTGGCCCTTCTGAGGGAGATCTGGAGGGAAAAAATTATATCAGATCAACAGGTCTCTTTGGTTTTCCTCTCTCTCCTCTTTCAGGGCAACTGAATCTCTCTAGAGGTGACATCCATGAGAATAGAATAGAATAGAATAGAATAGAATAGAATAGAATAGAATAGAATAGAATAGAATAGAATAGAATATGGAAATGAAAATAGAATAGAAGAGAATGGAATAGAAGAGAAGATAAGAGAAGAGAAGAGAATAGAGAAGAGAAGAGAAGAGAAGAGAAGAGAAGAGAAGAGAGAATGCAATGGAATGGAATAGAGCTAGAAGGGACCTTGGAGGTCTTCTAGTCCAGCTCCCTGTTCAAGCAGGAGAACCTATACCATCTCAGACAAGTGACTGTCTAGTCTCTTCTTGAAAATCTCCAGTGATGGAGCGCCCACGATTTCTGGAGGCAAGCTGTTCCACTGGTTAATTGTCCTCACTGTCAGGAAGTTTCTCCTTAGTTCCAGGTTGCTTCTCTCTTTGGTCAGTTTCCAACCATTGTTTCTTGTCCTGCCCTCTGGTGCTTTGGAGTATAACGTGACCCCCTCTTCTTTGTGGCAGCCGCTCAGATACTGGAACACTGCTATCATGTCTCCCCTATTTCTTCTTTTCTTCAGACTAGCCCAACCCAAGTAAACAATATAATTGCTAAGTCTACAATTTTCAGGATAATCGATTTGGTCTTTGAGTGTCTCTTCTGCTTTTTTTCTTTTCTTTTCTTTTTTATTTTTACAGAGAGGGAAACAATCCAGCCTCTCCGATTTCTTCCTAGGCTTCTTTCAGAAAAAATATGGCGAAGGTGTTGCGTTTGACTGGACTTACAGCGTCTATGAAAACCTCAAGCTCTTTCGGTCGAATGAAATGATGGCCTTGTTTCTTAACATCCTGACAGGAAACGTGAGTATCTTTACTTGCTTAAGATAATAACAAAGAAATACCTAAATCGGTTCACGCCAGAGCTGGTTTCTTTGGGACAGTGGTACTGTCAGACTGCCCATAGCCTGAATCTATAAAAACGATCCTTGGCTCCATTTGTTGACAAAGGTATGGCTTTATTAGAGATCAAGTGTGTTGCAGCATTGCATAGCCAGAAATGAGAACTGCATGCCGAAATCTCTCCCCCAAGTTCTACTCCCCCTGCCTTAACTGTCTCTCGTTGCCCATCCCAATGTAAGCAATCAAATCCATGCAAGATGTTTTCATAACGGTCAATCCCAGCGGTGTTTGGATCAACAACTGAAGATATGCTGACGATACAACTGGGGTATTCTCCAGAGGGTAACCATGCTGGTGAAGGAAGATGGGACTGATTATTCAGACTGGGGACCCTGCTTCATCTTAAATCAGGGGTCTTCAAACTTGGCCCTTTTATGACTTGTGGACTTCAACTCCCAAAACTCCTGGGAGTTGAAGTCCACAAGTCATAAAAGGGCCAAGTTTGAAGACCCCTGTCTTAAAGCTTCTTCCATCTCTTTCGCAGCTGGATGAGGGAGTATATCACAGTCACCTCCTGGAACTGAACAACCTGTTAAAAGAACTGACTGCTGCTGATACCGAAAATACCGGCCACTTGACAGAGGAGCAATTCATGTAAGAGCCACTGTATCGTCTGCACCTGCAACAGGACAATAAAATCAGAACTGGAGCCCTAGAAATATCTATACATTTTTAACTGATATAGGGCAATGTTTGGGGTTTTTACTATTTCAAAAACTACATCCTGGCCACACACTAATCCAGGTTATCAAAAGATGTAAGAATGTTGCTCAAATCCAAGCTTTGTTGTTTGAGTATCTTATATTTTATATGAAATGCAGTTTTCTCCTTGCACTGGGATAAATATGAGGGAGTTTCCAACCTGTGGTTGAAAGCTAAAGTAGCTTTGTTCTTTTTGGAAGCAAAATTAGGGCCAAAGAGGAAGAGGAAGAAGTAAAATTTCACCACCACCCCCGTATCCACTGTCATTGCAATCCTAGTTGGATTGCCACCATGTTTAATCTTTTTTTAAAGAATAATAGAAGCTTAACTGTAACAGGTGATTGGGATAACACTCAATATTGCTATCTGTTTGCAAACTGGAATAGTTTTCAGGTTAAGAGTCCCTTGGTAGCAGAACATTGGGCAAGTAATTATCCCTCTGTGAGTGAGATGGGCAGTTTCTAAAGTGGATATATATTTCATCATCATCATCATCATCATTCTAGCCATTGACTATCCCCTGCAGGATGAAGATCTCTTCCGCATGTTTCCAACAAATAAGGTCTTGAGTTTTCCTTTGCCGATTGGACCCGCAATACTTGCTGATGTCGTTGATGCATCTTGTTTTAGGTCCCTTTCGAGGACACTTTTGATCAAGTGGGATCCATTCTATGACTGCCTTGGTCCACCTGCCCTCAGTTCTTCTTGCTATGTAACCAGCTCATTTCCATTTCCATTTTACTCTTTTGATGGCATCGTATACTTTAGTTTATTCTCTAATCCTTGTGCGGGTCTTTCTATCTTGTGATGCCAAGCATGTATCTTTCTATGGCTTGCTTGCTTGCTCTATCTACCTATCATCTATCTATCTATCTATCTATCTATCTATCTATCTATCTATCTATCTATCTATCTATCTATCTATCTATCTATCTATCATCTATCTACCTATCTATCTATCTATCTATCTATCTACCTATCATCTATCTATCTACCTATCATCTATCTATCTATCTATCTATCTATCCATCTATCCATCTATCTATCTATCTATCTATCTATCTATCTATCTATCTATCTATCTATCTATCTATCTATCTATCTATCTATCTACCTACCTACTTATCTATCTATCTATCTATCTACCTACCTACTTATCTATCTATCTATCTATCTGTCTGTCTGTCTGTCTGTCTGTCTACCTATCTATCTATCTGTCTATCTATCTATCTATCTATCTATCTATCTATCTATCTATCTATCTATCTATCTATCTATCTATCATCTATCATCTATCTATCTACCTACCTACCTACCTACCTAAATATATATACAAAATATATATACAAAAATCTGTGAACAAAGGGTAAGGGAAAGACAGCATCTTGTACAGCTATTTGCTCAGCTTTGGGGGAACTGAGGTGTCTGTCCCCTTTTTGAAAAAAGCTAATATAAGGAATATTAGCCCTTTTTTAAAAAAAACGTTGTGCTTCAATTTTATCCAAGGCTAACATGTTTTCTCTCTCCTGCAACAGCCTGGCCTTGAGGACAGCCTTTCCACTAAAAACAGATGAAGAGATTCAGGAGTTACTTGATGCAGCTGGCTTCAGGCCAAATGTTGGTGCCGTTATGTACAAGCTGTTATTCTTAGAGGTAAGTTGGAACATCGGATAAGAAGCAGTTCAGCATTTATGGGGATGAAAGGCTGGGATGTGTAATAAGACTAGATTTCCAAGACTGGAACGAATACCGAGAAAGCATATAAAATATTATTTACCTTTCTAAGTGGAAAAAAAAAAAACAACTCGCAAGATTTTGGCCAGTCTGTAATTGTGGGTGAGCAAAGAACAATTTCATTACATAAAATTACATTGCTTCTAGTTCAGTGGTGGCGAACCTATGGCACGGGTGCCAGAGGCGGCACTCAGAGCCCTCTCTGTGGGCACGCATGCCGTCGCCCCAGTCCTAGGCCTTCAGCTGGGTTTTATAAAACCTTTTCGCTTTAGGCCTCCGCCACCATGTACAAAAAAAAAAAGATTCAATCAATCAAGTCAATTTCAACTTCTCGCGGGAAAAAAAAAGAACTTGCAAAGTTGGAATTGATTGAACTTTTTAGTCCCACCCAGTCTGCTGTTACCACCACAGCCACGCCCACCCAATGGGCCACACCCACCCAATGGGCCACACCCACCCAGCACCCGACGATGCATAAGTGGGTTTTGGGTTGCAGTTTGGGCACTCGGTCTCTAAAAGGTTCGCCATCACTGTTCTAGTTCATTCACTGTACATTTTTCTCATGTCAGCATGTGGGATTCTGCTCCTGGTGGGAAGCCATGACAAGATATGTATACATGTTTTAGGAAGCTAGCCTATTGTAATTTATTCGGTAAACTATGGTTAAACAAGCCTTAGTTTTAGAAATATTTATTTATTTATTATTTATTACTTTAATTTATATCCCGCCCTTCTCCCGAAGGACTCAGGGCGGCTTACAGGCAATAAAAACGGAACTATACAATAAATATCTAAAAACAATTAAAATATATATTAAATAAGCCTGTTATTTTTAGAAAAGTTATAAAATCCCTATTAAAATCCCTATACAATCCCCCCCCTAGGCNTGTGCGCAAGGCGTCCCGGTCCAGAAAAGGCCGCAACTGGTACACCAGGCGAACCTGATAAAACGCCCCCCTGGTCACGGCCGACAAGTGATCTTCCAATGTCAGCCGTGTATCCAGGAGGACTCCCAAGTTGCGCGCCCTCTCTGAGGGGGCCAGAATTTCGCCCCCTATAGTCAGCGATGGAATCAGCTGACTATGCAAACCTCGCCAGTGAATTCTTTCACAGTGGGGAAAAACAAGCTCTTTTGTCATGTTGAATAATTGCCTACAGTTGAGAGAAGGGAAATGCTTCATAGCAACAATGAACAAAATGCTGCTAAGCCACTTACATTCATTTACAGGATGAGGAAGGAAAAACAGAACCCCTAATCGCAAAACTTAAGAACCAATATGTGGTTGAGAAACAGACGTATCTGAACGAGCTGCGTGCTGAACTAGGAGCCTTGGTGTGAGTATGTGAGTGGGAGGTGACTCCCAATGGTTTAAGCACATCTAAATTCAGATCCATTATTATCTCCTCCTTGTCCACTTGCTTTCTGTTTGCATTTACAAATAGCCTCTGTCTGGATCCAAACATTTCAGCATAGATGGCCACCACAAAATTGTGCATTGGCTCCCGGCCGGCTGGCCTGGGCCAGGGCCAAGGCAGTGGGGGCCGTTCCCAGGATGGCTTCGCGGGCCACATGAAACTACTTCGCGGGCCGCATCCGGCCCCCGGGCCTTGTGTTTGACATGTCTGACGTACCGCCTTTTCAGCAATGGCTTTTTTCTCTCCTCTTCTTTCCAGAGACGTGAGGCCTGATGATCTGAGGGCAGCTTTCTGTATAATTGACCACGGCTTAACTGACCAGACCTTGGACTCTTACCTCTCTTATGCCTTCCAAGTTCCCAAAGAGCAGCTGGACCCGGCAGTCTCCCTTCCCATAGACATTCTGATGCAAAGGCTTATGATGGGAGATCTCCACAGACAGGGAGCTGCCTCGGGACAGCCGCAGCAAGTGCCTCCCTCTCACGCGGCCGAAGAAGCAGATCATCCCAGCAACTGACTCGACCCACTTGCTCTCCCGCTCCGAGATTCATTGGAATCGTTTAAGACCTGCTCAGGTCGAACTGAGAACAGCTGCCCTGCCAGAGCTTGCAGCTGATAACTGAGCCCCCAGGAGCAAAGCCGCGATCCCGGTTGATTTTCTTAGGCTTCAGACAAAGCTTAAAAGTCATGACAAAATCCACCGTCTGTGCTATTAAAATGTCTTTTAAAATCCACGCAAAACATTTAGTACGGAGCATCCCATTTCTCAGACTGGGGAACTTAACTTCCACTCATGGAGGAAGGGTTGAAGTGGAATCTGGCAGAGCTTCAGGTTTGTTTGCAAAAAGTAGCAGTTATTTCCTCTTTATATATATCCATAAATATTCCACAACAGGAACCCATGAAGAAATTGTGAAATGACAGTTCAGCCAATTGGATGCTAAAATAATTTAAACCTATGCAGTTTTCAAAAGTTTTATGTTTTATTTATAACAATTGAATTATCCACAGTCCGCTGGGGGCTAGAGAGTAAAGAAAGGATTATATTATTAACACAGAAACCAGGGCAGCCAAGCAACTGAAGAGGTAGCGAAACTAAATTACAAAGCCAAACAACATAACAATTTTTTCCCCTGTCAATTCAACGTATTTTTGCTATGCTCCAATTTGCACTGAAAAAAAGGGGAGCTTACCAAGTCTTGGAAACTGATGGTTTCCAGATTAGTGATTTAAAAATGTATAGTTCGTTTATATAAACAGTGTTGTTAAGATGCAATAAAACTATTAAATAAACTTTCCTTATAAGCTTTCCTATATCTGACATCAAAGGATTTTGTGCTAGAGGATTCTTTTTCCAGGATGTTGCGGAGAAGCAAATATGAAAAGATCTTATTAGTGAAGAAAGAAAAATTCATTTTGTCCATTTTTAAAAATCTAATGTATACTTTCCCTCAATAGCATGTGGAAGGGACATGCTATCATGAGAATAGTTTATACTGTTCCTTCAAAGTTGCCATGTAAGTCTCAGCTGGAAGAAACACATATGTTGGATAAATTTATATACACAAATCTGTCCATCAGGATAGACTGTGTCCAGAATACGTGTAGCTGAATAGCTGCATAACTGGCACGGAACACCTGTAGCTTAATTTATTGTTCTACTTAAAAACTGCACCTACCTAGATTTGGACGTTTATTGATAATCTAAGAAATGGAAGAAAAATAGCTAAGATTACAAAAATGTCATAAGTTAAATATCTTCAGATACAAGAAAAGGTTTAGTAAAATAAGCATAAGATCACACGTTTTGGCTTGCTTGAGAATAAGAGTACAGAGTTAACAGTTTTGTTCCAAATGAATATGTGTGGTTTTTTTTTAACAAAATATAATTTGCAAACCTAGCACAGGCAGAAAAACGAGGCTCCTTCTGTACCACAGTAACTGAGACACAAAATAGGTGCAATTCAGCATTGTTTGTTTCTGAGATGGTCCCATATGCTTAAGTTAAATGCCATGTAAATGATCTGTCTTACGGACAAATCTACATCCACTCTCGTCCAGAGCCTTATAAGAACATCTTCCTCCACTGCTTACTCCAAAGGAGAAATGTTCTTTCAGCTTCTCACGTTGGCTTCTGAGGGATCACTTTGTTCCCGCTTGTGGCGATCGGGATCAGCAGCTTCCGGTACTCGAAAGGTAAGTGTCGCTCAACCAGGACATGTAGAGGCATCTTGTCTGTTATCAGTCCTTGCCTGGGCAGAAAGGGGTCACAAGAAGACAAGGCCAAAAGAAGCATGCCTGAGATCAGATAGTGCTTGCTTCTTTCCAACAAATCCCCCTAATGCAGGAGTCCCCAATCCCCGGCCCGTAGACCGGTACCGGGCTGCGGCGTGCCAGCAACCGGGCGGCGCAAACAAGCAAAGCCCCATCCGCCGGATGCAGGCAGCACACAAAACCACGCCCCCTCCGGTCCGCGGAAAAACCTCTCTCCACGTAACCGGTCCCTGGTGCCCAAAAGGTTGGGGGCCTCTGCTGTAGGGACTAGGCTAGGCCAGGGGTCCCCAATCCCCGGCCTGTAGACCGGTACCGGGCCGCGGAGTGCCATCAACCGGTCTGCACAAACAAGCAAAGCCCCATCCGCGGGATGCAGGCAGCACACAAAACCACGCCCCTTCCAGTCCGCGGAAAAACCTCTCTCCACGAAACCGGTCCCTGGTGCACAAAAGGTTGGAGACCTCTGCCCTAATGTAGCCCAGGCCCTTCCAGTTTCCTTTATGGCTTTGTAAACTGTCCTGAGCTACAGGTAGCCCTCAACTTATAACCACAATGGAGCCCAAAACATATGTTGCTAAGTGAGAAATTTGTTGAATTTTGCCCGGTTTTATAACTTTTCTTGCCCCGGTTGTTTCTGTGTATCACTGCAGCTGCTAAATTAGTAACATGGTTAAGGGAACCTGGTTTTTCTCGTTGATTTTGCGTGTCAGAAAGTCGCAGAAGGGGATCCTATGAACCCCCAGGACACTGCAACCGTCAGTTCTCAAGCACCCGAATGTAAATCACGTGGCCGTGGGGATGCCGCGATGGTCATACGTGTGAAGGATGGTCGTAAGTCACTTTTTTCAGTACCACTGTAACTTCGAACGGTCACTAAATAAACTGTTGTCAGTTGAGGACTCCCTGTACTCTAGCACTGTATTCGTCTTTGTTGTAATTGCTACAATCCTGCACTGGCAGTTCTCTCTGCCGTTGTTCAGCTGTTTCTCAAGAAAGCAAAGAGGGGAGAAACATTAACCCATAAGGTTAAGAGCAAAGAAACAGCTGAGGAAAGCCCTCCTCTACTTTTAAGAACAACCCTCACTAACTTGGTGCTCTCCAAATACGTGGTGATTATGAACAGTCAGAATTTCCAAGAACTGCGCCGGCTAAGAGCTCTCGCTGTCCCACCATCCATCTGAAGAGCGTTATGGTGGGGAAGCCTTCACTGAAATATCTTTTTTCAGTTGATGCAGGGCCCTTGAGACCTTGCAAACCCTAACCCTTACCGCTTCATGAGGAGTTCCAGATCAGCCGGATCGACCATCTTCCGTCGCGCGTGAGTCGCGTAGGCGTCCAGGTCGTTGCTCAGTTGCTTGAAATACACGTTCATGCTGGGAAAATGAAGCAAGTCAGCTGGGAGAGTTACAGCATGGCTCCCCCCCCTCCCTTGAAGGCAGCTTATAGTGCAAAATCCTCAAAGAAAACCTGAAAAGTCTGGCCACAATTAAACACTTGTGAACAGATTTTTTTCTTGGCAAGAAGCCCAAGCATGACAACAGAAAGAGGCAGCAACACACGGTTGTTTTTTTTTAATTTTTTCTTAGCTCGGTGCAGTTGGCAAACCTCTTTCTCCAAAGGGGATCATTGTGACTCACCACCTCTCCACAACTTCCAAGGCTTCTTTGGTGACTGGCATCTTGACGTAGTGGGTGAACATTTTTTTCACCAAGTTGTTGGGGAGGGACGGCTCCCGTTTTCTCCGGCAGGCTTTTTTAGCTGGCTTTGGAAGCCGTTGGACCGAATCCTGTTTGGCCGGCGACCTCCAAGAAAAATATCAAAAAGACGGTCTAAGCCCAGGGGTCTTCGGCCTTGGTCACTCTGCGACTTGTGGACTTCAACCGGCTGAGGAATTCTGGGAGTTGAAGTCCACAAGTCATAAAGTGGCCAAGGTTGGAGACCTCTGGTCTGAGCCATTGGGTCTACTGCAAGAAGAGGAAACCAAGGGACCTGCCAGGTGTTGCAGAAAGCCAGCTGCCAGGTGGTCCCAGATGGCATGGCCAACGATCTGGGAGCCCAAACATCTTAAACATGGCTCCAGTGGGTCATGGAAGGCTGTAGTTCTGTTTATCTGGCAGTTAGAGTGAGGCAAAGCCAAGCCCCTCCTGCCAGCCACACCTTCTACTACATTGTCGGTCACACCGAGTCACCTCGAACCGCGAGGGGGGGGCAGCATATAAATTGAAGAAGTAATACAGGTAGTCCTCACACAACTGACCACAACTGAGCCCAACATTTCTGTTGCTAAGTGAAATAATTTGTTAAGTGAGTTTGTTCCATTTTACGACCTTTCTTGGCACCGTTGCTAAAAGTGAACCACCGCAGTTCGTAAGTTAGTAATCAGGTTGTGAAGTGGCTTCCCTATTGGCTTTGCTTGTCAGAAGGTTGCAAAAGGGGTTCACAGGACACACACACACCCGGGACACTGCGACCGTCGTTAACTACGAACCAAGCGTCTGAATTGTGATCACGTGACCATGGGGAGGCTGAATCGATTGTAAGTGTGAAAAATGGTTGTAAGTCACTTTTTACAGTGCTGTTGTAACTTGGAACGGTCACAAAATAATAATAATAATAATAATAATAATAATAATAATAATAATAATAATAATAATAATATATATAAAAAAAAAAAAGTTGGAAGGGACCTTGGAGGTCTTCTAGTCCAACCCCCTGCTCAGGCAGGAAACCCTATACCATTTCAGACAAATGGCTGTCCAGTCTCTTCTTAAAGACTTCCAGTGTTGGAGCATTCACCGCTTCTGGAGGCAGGTTGTTCCACTGGTTAATTGTTCTAACTGTCAGGAAGTTTCTCCTTAGTTCTAGGTTGCTTCTCTCTTTGGTTAGTTTCCATCTGTTGCTTCTTGTCCTGCCTTCAGGCACTTTGGAGAATAGCTTGACTCCCTCTTCTTTGGGGCAGCCCCTGAGATACTGGAAGACTGCTATCCTGTCCCCCCTCGTCCTTCTCTTCATTAGACTAGACATACCCAATTCCAGCAACCGTTCCTTAAATGTTTTAGCCTCCAGTCCCCTGATCATCTTTGAATGGTTGTAAGTTGAGGGGGGCCTGTAAATACACGGTGGTTGGGGGGCTAGAGTTCTGTCTCCCTACAACCGCATACATACCCAGAAGCCGCCTCTTTCAGAACACGTGGGCTGGACAGCAATGGGGTACAGTGAAAAGCTTTAGCCCGAACAAAGGCTGGTGTATTGCCAGTTGGTTCTGAGAGAGAGAGGAAGGTAGAATCTCGTTATCACTTCCCCAAAGCACATGAAACTTCAACAGGCAGGAAACATAGGAATTGTTTATAGCTTCTGGGGGGTGTGTGCGACCTCCATCTCGTTTACAGATAATCCCAGGGGTAGGCAACCTTAGCTCTTTTATGACTCGTGGACTTCAACTCCCAGAATTCCTGAGCCAGCCATGCTGAGGGGAAAGGGAGAGGTTTCCATACTGAGCCATGCTGGCTCAGGAATTCTGGGAGTTGAAGTCCACGAGTCATAAAAGAGCCAAGGTTGCCTACCCCTGGATAATCCCAAAGTTACTACAGGTAGTCCTCAATTTATGACTACAATTGAGCTCAAAACGTGATGCTAAGTGAGACATTTGTTACGTGAATTTTGCCCAATTTTAGGCCCTTTCTTGTCACCGTTGTTAAGGGAATCACTCCAGCTGTTAAGTTAGTAACCCAGTTGTGAAGTGAATCTGGCTTCCACATTGAATTTGCTTGTCAGGAGGTTGTAAAAGGGGATCACGTGACCCCGGGGCACTGCGACCGTCATAAATATGAGCCAATTGCCAAGAGTATACATTTTGATCACATGACCAGGGGGAAGTTCAACAGATGTAGAGTGTGAAAAATGGTCACAAGTCCCCCCCCCCTTTTTAGTGCCATTGTAACCTCACTAAAGGGTCAGTAAACAAATGGTTGTAAGTCAAGGACTATCTGTAAAGGACTAGATTTTACAGGGTTCACATTAAAATTGCTTTATTAAATCTAAAAAGAAGAAACCCAAATGATGTGAGGAATAATTTGAGAAGAAGTCAGGCTTTGGGAGAAGAATATACTTTCGGAAGCCCAACCATGACCGCCTTAAAAGAATGAAGCTCTCAACGAATGGAACTGATTCAGGATCAGATTAATTTTTAATTGACCTTGAGGTCCCCCAGGATCAATTTCTTATATTAATCAGTTTGAAATGGATCTAATAAGCCACATTTGCTCCAGCTGAGCTTTAGTATTCTACAACTTATTAGCACCTTGTCATTCAGACTCACTTTTGTGTGAGATGATTATGATTAAGTAAATTAGCTTACCAATATTAAGTATGATGATTAACTAAGTTAGCTCACCAAATATGACTAAGTAAATTAGCTTACCAATATTCTCAAATTCTGACATCTCCTCGACTTCTGGATTGTCTTCGTCTTCAAACTCTAGAATCTGTTCAGTTTCCACATTCCTCTTTTCTTTTGTTCTATTTCTACCACCTGTTTGTGGATTGGTTCTATCTCTCATTTCCTTAAATGGGGTCCTCCTCAGACTCTTTGGGGTCTTTCCACTTGCCCGTCTGTTTGGAGTTACCACTCTCATTTCCTTAAATGGCGTCCTCTCCAGGGTCTTTGGGGTCTTTCCACTTGCACGTCTTTTTGGAGTTACCACTCTAGGACTTTGCGAGATCTCAATAGCTAAAGAGAAAAAAGGAATAAAAAAAGAAAAGAGAAAAATCTTCCATCTCCTTCACAGATAATTCCAAAGTTACTAAAGGGTTAATTTCATGGGATTCACATTAAATTAGCTTACCAATATTTTCAGATTCTGACATCTCCTCGACTTCTGGATTGTCTTCGTCTTCAAACTCCAGAATCTGTTCAGTTTCCACATTCCTCATTTCTTTTGTTCTATTTCTACCACCTGTTTGTGGATTGGATCTACCTCTCATTTCCTTAAATGGGGTCCTCTCCAGGCTTTTTGGAGTCTTTCCACTTGCACGTCTTTTTGGAGTTACCACTCTAGGACTTTGAGAGATCTCAACAGCTATAGAGAAAAAAAAAGGAAGAAAAAAAGAAAAGAGAAAGATCTTCCATCTCCTTCACAGACAATCCGAAAGTTACTAAAGGATTAATTTTATGGGATTCACATTAAAATCACTTGCTTTATTAAATTTAGCAGGAAGATTTCTGGGCAAACCCAAATCATGTGGGGAATCCTTTGGGAGAGGTCTATACTTTCTGAAGCCCAACTATGGTAGGCTTAAAAGGACGACGCTCTCAACATATGGACCAGATTCAGGATAGAATTTATTTCTAAATTGCCTTTGGAGCAACCCCCCCAGGATCAATTTATTAAGTTAATCAGTTTGAAATGTATCTAATAAGCCAAGTTTGCTCCAGCTGTCCTTTAGTTACCAGTGTCTTGCTGTCCAGTCACTTTTATGTGACATGGGTGGCTATACAAATATAGTTAAGTAAAGTCAGCAGTGTGGGAGACAAACCAAAAAAAGCTAATACAATCCTTGGTTGCATAAACAAAGGCATATAATCAAAATCATGTGAAGTATTACTACTGCTTTATAAAGCCTTAGTAAGACCACACCTGGAATACTACTTCCAGTTTGGATCACCACATTACAAAAAAGATGTTGAGACTTTGGGAAAAGAGCAGAAAAGAGCAACCAAGACGATTAAAGGTCTGGAGACTAAACGTATGGAGAATGGTTCCAAAAATTGGGTATGGCTAGTACTGAGGAAAGAAGAACTAGTGGTGACATGATAACAGTGTTTCAGCATTTCAGGGGCTGCCACAAAGAAGAGGGGCTCAACTTTATTCCAAAGCACCAGAAAACAAGACAAGAAGCAACGGATGGAAACTAATTGAGGAGAGAAGCAACCTGGAATGAAGGAGAAACTTCCTAACAGTGAGAACAATTAACAAGTGGAACAGCTTGCCACCAGAGGTTCTGGGTGCTTCATCACTGGTGGTTTTTAAGAAAAGACTGGATAGCCACTTGTCTGAAACGGTAAAGGGTCTCTTGCACGAGCAACGGGTTGGACTAGAAGACCTCCAAGGTCCCTTCCAGTTCTGTTCTGATTAATTAAATAAATAAATTAGCTTACCAATATTCTCAGATTCTGACATCTCCTCGACTTCTGGATTGTCTTCGTCTTCAAACTCCAGAATCTGTTCAGTTTCCACATTCCTCATTTCTCTTGTTCTATTTCTACCACCTGTTTGTGGATTGGTTCTATCTCTTATTTCCTTAAGTGGGGTCCTCTCCAGGCTCTTTGGGGTCTTTCCACTTGCACGTCTTTTTGGAGTTACCACTCTAGGACTTTGAGAGATCTCAATAGCTAAAGACAAAAAAGGAATAAAAAAAGAAAAGAGAAAAATCTTCCGTCTCCTTCACAGATAATCCGAAAGTTACTAAAGGATTAATTTTATGGGATTCACATTAAAATCACTTGCTTTATTAAATTTAGCAGGAAGGCTTCTGGGCAAACCCAAATCATGTGGGGAATCCTTTGGGAGAGGACTATACTTTCTGAAGTCAAACTATGGCAGGCTTAAAAGGATGACGCTCTCAACATACGGACCTGATTCAGGATAGGATTAATTTCTAAACTGCCTTTGAAGCCCCCCCAGGATCAATTTCTTAAGTTAATCAGTTT